TGTAATTTATTCCTGTGATGGCTGAATTTTAAGTCTTCATTGTCATGATTCTTCTGAAATCATTCTAATATGCTAACTTGGTGCTCAAGAAACATTTTATTACCACCAATGTTTAAAAAAATATTCTGCTTATTTTTTTTTTCAGGATTCTTTACTTGAACAGCATTTATTTAAAATACATATTTTTTGCAAAATTTAAAAAGTCTTTACTGCCATGTTTGATCAATTTATTGCATCCTCTCTGAATTACAGTATTAATTAATAAAAAATAAAATAAAAAAACAAAGATCTTACTGACTTCAAACTTTTGAATGGTAGTGTAGAAATAATAATAATAATAATAATTGGTTAAAAGTTTAGCATGGTCATGCGATATGATGTCATACTACCCAAAATTATATCACAAATTCAAACATTATTTTAAATCGTGCAGTTCCACATAAACCCAAAATGCAGCTGTAACCACAATGTGCTTTTCATGTAATGCATAGCTTTGCATCTGCAAATATCTGCTCCCTCAGCAAAATGTTAGGTGAACCTTTGTTAAAAAAATTAACTTGAAATCCAAATAGACCATTTACTAATCTTTCATCAAAATATACAGAAATGACATTCCTCTTCATCTGACATTTAAGTCCTCTTATTTTCCAACCCCTCCCCTCTAACCACCTTTAATATGGAGACAATTTCCACTATCCAAACAATTTCCATTGGATAAAATCATATCCCACATTATGTTCTGATCTCAGTGAATATCCTGTTTCACTTAAAAACCTGCTCCATAACACTAGTGACATGGTTTGGAAATGCCATTTCAAGCTGACTTTTAAAGTGAGAGGAAAATCAAAGAGCAAATCCATGTCCCTTACTTTAAGAGGATTTGTGTTTTCCTCCTCTACCTTCTCGAGTGAATATCTCATTGTGTTTTCTCTTTTTCTTTCTCACTCACTCTAGTGTGGCACATCCACTTTGCATGTTTCTAAATGGAACATCACGCCCGGAGGTCGAAACAAACAAACAAATCGGTCTCTCAAACTCATACGCTGTACATGTATGAAAGTCATTCTCATTGCGATAACCGGAGGCCCTCAATTTAGTGATCGTGGAAAGCAGTACTGTGCACATACGGCAGGATTTGAGTGAAAAACGAGTCTCTTTTCCTGTTGTGTATACGCCACATCTCTGGGGTTCCTTGCAACTATCGAAGCATTTCACTCAACTCTGAATGAAATATCCACACGGTCTATAGCTCAGAAACCTCAAAGGGGTCGGAAAATGCTGTGAGGTGTTCTGAATAATCTGTGAGGTGTTCATTGTATGAATAAAAAAATCAGACGCCCCTATGGTCATCACGAAAAGATTGATTGCCTGGTTAAACAAGAAATGGATGCATCTAACACATGAGAGAGGTCGTAAATGCGCCTTTGGCCAATATCGCTGCCTATCCGGACTGATCAATGCAACCTGCAAAATAAACCGTATTTATTATTACTCCAAGGGGCTGCAAATATGAAATTGAACAGCATATTTTCTCAAAAAAGCTGAGATGCTGTAAACTAATGTATTTGTCTAACAGTCTACCAGTCTTGACAGCTAATAACAAAACAGACAGAAAAGAAAACCTATTGAGGGACATTTTAATCTTTTCACGGCATGATAAAAAGCAGCAATTCCTCGGCTTTGGCATATAGGGGTAATTAAATCCCTGCTTAGGGTGAAAAGCATTAGAAATGCCATTTCCAAAAGACCCCCTGTAGACCTTTTCCTCAAAACTGGCACACACAAAGACATATACAGTACGTATGCATTAAAAGTGTATATAACATAACTTTTCGCAACCTGACAGAACTTGCAAGACCTAGGGAAGTTTGATGTTTGAGGCACATTCAAAATTAATCGGGTTGAGCTGTGCCTTGAGCCACATCTTTGGCGTTTTAACTTTTTGTCTGTTTTCTCTCAAAAATAACTGTGGACTTGTCTTTTCCCCTGTTTGCTCAGTGTAGCCCTCAACCTTAGCTTGACCCTCACAGTATGAAGATGGCTGCATTGTCTTCCTGTCATACTTCTAGACGTTGCCTGCCCTACAGGAAGTGTGGAGATGTTTGGCAGACTTGACCTGCAGAATTTGAATAGATGGAGTAATGTTTGCTATTGAAACTTGAAAGTTAGTCTTTAAAGTGCCTTTAGGCTTTTGTAGACTGTGCCAACTCAATTCTGATATAAAATCAACATGAAACAGCATTTAAAACCCATTGTATCTCTCTAATGTGCAATAACAGGATATTCAATCAGTTTTTTTATGTACTGGGAATTGTTCGAATAGGAAAAAGTGAGCGATACATACCAGAATAGTGAACCTGACCTCTTGAAGCAAAGCTGTTGAGGAGACGTTTGGATTTGGATGTAGACATGGAAGGTCAAGTTCGCCCTCAAGAGCTTCTCGATGGTGTAAATCTACCTTTACTTGACATTTTGCTGTAAACTTGTTTTATGTTAACTTTAAACAAAATTACCGAATTAACTACTAGAAAAGTAGGAATTAACTAAAAGAAGTTGGAATAACATATAGATGAATTATGCACCAAAAAAGTAGAGTACATGGTAACTTAAAATAGTTTACACACAAAACAAGGCAGTTTGCAAACCTGAATAAAACAAAAAACTAAATTATGCAAAGCTGCCATAAAAGCAACTGACTTAGTAATCTACATCAAACCTGATCTTATTACTGAAGCTATACTTATAACATGTGCCGATCCATTGCTTGCTTAAATTTGTTAATTTCCCCAGGCTCAGTTCACTTATTACTTAAAAATTGTTTGACTGAAAGGCATGCAAAACTTGAGCCTCAATCACAGCGGGTTCTTCTCTAAAGTCTTGGTTAACCCGCTGAGTTAATACCCATCTCAAGATAAGGGGGTTGGGAATGCTCTGCGATTCAAGTCTTTTTGCATTAAACCCGGAGTGGTGCCATGGAGAGTGCGAATGACATTTTATTGCTTGTTCTGGTGTCTAATCAGGGGTCTTGAGGGGGCCTGGCCTGATTAAAGCAGTTGAAAGTACGTACAGCTCATTAAAACAAGAAAACCTTTCTGTGTTTTCTAACCGCACACCAAATTCATTTCATCAAGGCTTCAGGAGCATAAGCACGAACACTCAGCTGGAGCATGAGGAATAGAGATTTGAAAGAGAAATTGCTGGCACAATACATTAGCAGGAAAAAAGGGAGGGAGTAAAAGAGCAAAAAGGCTTCATCACACTCTGAACATGCAACTAAATTTGACAAGTGCATCAGAGGACAATGGTTGGTTTTGAAAGGCTTATTATCTCCATGGACAAGATGGTAGGAGGCCAGAGAATTGTGGGCCGTAAGTCTTTAAACTTTATTAGTGGGAGGACGGAAATTGTTGAAACTATGGTTCTCGGTAAAACCGTATAGAGAGGGGAACTTTACTCACCCATTTTGTGGGAGTTACAGTGGCATTTATGTGAGCAAAACTGCTTTTTTTTTCCCCCACTGAGGTACTTCCAGTAAGTTCCAGATTCAGAATGCTTAAGCTCTTAGGAAACCTGCAGAATGTCTTTGTTTTTATGCAAATCAATATAGCCCTGATGTAAATTATCCATTAATCGTATTAATTTGGACACAATTAGGATGTATTAAGCTACGTAATATAACTGGGAATCAATCCACATCAAAATTATGCAAAAGCATCTGGATTTTGGCCTTGAGTACACATGATCAGGAGGGCATTCTGGTGGACAAAAATGAATCCATTATGTTAATATATAGTGTCCTCTGAAATGTAAAATCACATTAAATAAACGCCAACTACAACAATGACATTTCAATCATAAAACAATGCAGTTACTTTGACAAATAAATAACAGTTACAATCTTACAAATGTTTGGCACCGTCCTTTAAAATAATTCACTCTGTTTTAGTGCCAAGAGGGCACTACTATGTGTCTGTAAACTTATACATTATGTTTAGATTGTAGACTCTGCATATGCCTTTGTGTATATGTGTGTGAGTGTTTGTATGTACGTGTACACTACACATACAGCGATTTTGTTTTCACTGGACATACCCATTGGAAATCTAATACTACTTGTACATATACTGTATGTAACCATTGTTAGTATAGATTGTTATCTTGTTGGTTGTGCGTTTGTCACAGTTTTCACAGTCAGCCATCAGTTACATCTGATCAACATTGTATATCTTTAAGACCATACACACACATAAGTTACCAAAAAAACAACTTAGCAGGGAATCAATAACTGTCATTCCCATATGCCAACAATATACTTAAAACATTCCAAGAGCATAATAATTTATCTCCAATTGTCTTAGCTTGGTATTTCCCAACCACAGTGCAATAACGCAAGCCTTGAGGCTGTTTAGAAAACTCATCTCCTAACTGAATTTAGGAAAATAGTTGGGGGAAAAAAACTTTTGGAGTCTTAAATAGGAATAAATGAGATTTCAAGAAAGCTAATGATGGTGGAATGTATGCATGTGTGGGTTTGTCGTTTTGTTGCAAGCTATGAGTCTGTGTTTGTCAGTGATATTCATATTAATCCATGTATACTTTGTTCATATACTGTTCAATTCTCACACTATTCTATACAGATACACACAACAAAAACAAAACATTAGCTTAAGCATTAATATAGCTTCTTTCTTAACAGGGTAGCCAATGTTCATCTTGTCTTTTCTCATAGACTGTGATTGACTGCAATCTGGAGTTCACTCTGAGTGGTTTTAGTAAAATGGCTCACAAGGCAAACCTTTGAATTTTGAGTTGACAGTGTCAATTCTCAATTACCGAGCATTGATTTTGAACCTTGAAGGATGATGTGACATATTATTGATGCATGCTGAGAATTCATAAGTTTCAACACTGGCCAAATGCGACTGTAAAATGAAGATCAATTTCCATGTACAGGCTGAATTCTAATGATGTTTGCACTTAATGCTGAGAAAACCCAGTGTATGTCAACCATAATTTATTGAGATCTACATTCATTAGTTAACAACAAATGCTAATGTTTCCCGTCAAAAATGCCCTTGCCTGAAATTCCAAAGCCCAGAGGCCTATTTCGTAGAGCTTGAGATGTATTTTTAAGCCAATAAATTGCTCTAAAGAAGAAGAGCTTCAGCTTGCCTTTCATTGTCACGGGCGAACCAGAAAAACTCCAGGGATGCATTCTGGGTGATGACCTGACCGGAAAGGGCGAGATTAATTTCAATCACTTCTCCAATCTGGCAGTGTTAATAATATTAGCACCTCTGTGACCTCTTGACTCCTCTGCTGCAAATTACTAATTAATTTTCCCTATAAAGCCATGCAAGGACAATAACATGGTCTTAAAAAATGAGATGTGAGAAATAATTGAATTTGTTTCATACCATCCCTTGTTTGACCACAACCGATATTAGGTCAAGAGAAGTGGGTTATAACAGGAAACAGAAGGCCAGATCAATAGGGAGAAATAACAGCAGAGCTACTATAGTATTCAATGAAAGTAGACCTGGCCAAGTAATCATTGAAATGCAAATATGGCATCAGATTCTGTGGAATCAATGGCGGAAAACATAAGTATTTTACTCGTGAAGCTTGTTCAAGGTTTCTGTGCCTGTCATAAGCTTAATAGGTCATTGAAAAGTTTTACTCAAACACCAGCAAGACAGTTATTATGAAATATGTTTAACATTTCATGAAATTATAGCTTCCAAATTAAGTTTGCCATTTTATGAAAGTGTGTCATTGAGTTAAGCTTTGGCATATTGCCTCCCAACAGGCTAAACAAAGCAAACTCTTTGTGTAACATGCCTCAATATTTAATACATAATGGTAACCTTGTGTATATCAGCCTATTACTACATTGGGGTCTATATCTAGCTGCCACTTTTAAAATCAAACTGAGACATAAAGCTTCCATTCTTAAACCCCATTTTACTCTTTCCCTTCTTAGAATTAAGCAAAAACTGTCTAAAGTCTCCACAAATTAACAGAAAAATGTATTTGAGGCTGGCTGTGCCACAAACGAATGCCAAAAAGGAATTAACATTGTGTGTTTCATCGAATTGCCACACTGCTTGAATATAAAGCATGTCCAAATGGCTGCCTCTGGTTTGATAACTGTGTCCCACACATGCGGTGTAAAATTTGTGTAGGTGTCTTAAATCAATTAATATGCTTTGCTTGAGCAAACATTAGGGAATGGGTGTGAACAGGGTATCCATGTTTTGACCTGTGGCTTCAGCAAAGCGTAAACTCACTCAAAACTCACAACTTTTCTTTTTTTCCCTCTTACTAATTAACAAGCATCAGTTACCACCATCACTCGAGACTATATTCAGGCATTTGTAAAATAAAACCACTAATTCCTCATTTAAGACTATTATCGTGTCAAACTACAGTGCAAGAGAGGTGGTACACAAGGTAAAATGGAGGGATTCTAAACTGAAACTGGATGCCTTTTTAAGTGCCACATTTCCTGTGCATTTCTGGTTGGTTGCTTATCTATGCCTTAATGAGCTTGGAACACCTGCTTAATTCTGTCTCTTTCAGAACACTTGTCTCTGTGGTGGCCTATGGGGACCAAAGCACCTGCTGATGGAGTCTGCCGAGCTGTCTCAAGAGTCATCAGTTCTTTTCTCCACAACCTCGCCTCCTGCTGTCATGTCTCTCACAAGTATCACAGTTTCTGCTGTGCTGACACCCCCTTCCAGTAGTCCAGAATGTCATGGAGATCCTCATCCTTTGCAAACTGCACTTTCTTTCGAAGAGCATGGCCAGCGGCTATGTAGGCCTCCTCACGGGGGCTTTTCTTGTATGGTCGGAAGCGCTCCCAGATTTTAAGCGTGCTCTCAGAGGAGTACTCAGGGCTAGAGGAATACCCTGAGTAATTGTGGTGGCGGGGAGAAAGCTGTGAATAGGCAGTGTCCTTCTTGGTGCGAGTGAGAGGCTTTAGAAAGGAGACTTTCTGGGCAGGGGAGTCAGTGGCACCCTCATAGTAGAGGGCGGGGAAGGAGTGTCGGTGCTCTGAGCAGTGGTAGTCTGGGTGCACCTCCAAGTGGTGCTGCTGAGCTGTGCTGCCCCCACCTCCGACCACAACACCACACCCACCCGAACCACCACTGCCACCACCGGCTCCCCCTCCACCCCCGTTGCCACCATCTCCTCTGCCATTACTGACTCCCTGAACCCCTATTAAGGGCAACCTCTCCAGTGGCTCCCCGCACCGAACAGGGCTGCCTTTCTCAGGGTACTTGCATGGCTCTGTGCTTCGAGGGTCGGGGACGTCCAGACTGAAGACCCGAGCACTTTTGACAGAGCCACCGGAAGAAACGCTGCAGCGATTTTTAACAGAGTTTATAGGAACAACTGCAGCATCTGCACTGAGTTGCCTCTGCAATGGCCGTGATGCTGTAGCTGGGGGTGGGTCCCTGTAGGGAGGGGAGAGAAACCCACCTCCGCTGATGCCAGGCCGCTCAGAAAGGGGCAAAACAAGAGGAACAGGGGGTAGAGGACGGATTTTAGGGGACGACATGATCTGGCATGTCTCTGTGATGGTAGGGGAAAGTGGAATTAGCCCCCTGGCTAATGAAGGGACACTAGGAGGTGGTGGAGAGGCAGTGTTATCCACTGTAGTTGCAGTGGCCACAGCTGCTGCCACAACAGCTACAGAGTCTAGTTTGAGCGCATCAATGCAGTTATTGATAATCTGATTTACCTTGTCCACCTCCTTGGCAATGGTGGAGATCTCCGATGTTGAATCTCGGCCATCATCATCAGAGTCATCTCCTCCATTAATCCCATGTTCATCCCTTGTGATATCATCCCCTGACCCTGTTACAACTCCATCTCTTACTCGCTCCTCTCCTCCTGCTGACATTCTTACATCCATGTAGTTGCCCTTATTGACGGCCATGACTTCTGAGAATGCTGTAGCCATCTTCTCCACTTGTGGAAGGGAAGAAAGTCGAGAAGAGGTGGTGTTGGCTGAACTATGAAGGACGCCCAAGCTGGAGGATGCTGACTGGGACAACTTTCCGTGGTGGTGTTGATGATGGGACTGGTCATGGCGTTTCTGCAAGGCCGAAGGATCCTTGGCTGCTGCAGCAGCTGCTTCTGGCCCATAACGCATCTCTAAGATAGTTTTCTTAACAGTAATAGACTTTTTATTTTCTTCCTGCATTCGACGCCTACGTAAGCAGTAGTACACCAAGCCCAACACAATGACCATCCCAAACAGGCAGCCTAGAATGGTCATAATGTAATGGGTGGTAGAAGAAGGGGTTGCTCGCAAGTCATCAAGCCCTGGAGCCCGAGTTGCAAAATACAGACAAGTGTGATTGTAACGCTGGGAATTGCGAATTGAGGCAACACAAAAGGTGTAATTTGTGTGGGGCTTTAGGTTGTTTAGTCTGACAGTCTCTTTCTTGTTCTTTAAGTTCATGACGTCTGACACATAAGTGTGGTTATACTGCACTAAAATATACATCTTACTGTAGGGCTTGGGTATTTGAACCAAGAGGGATGCAGATGAGAGAGAGACCATTTGTAACTTAATGGTGGGGCTGTATGTTGGGTCCGTGGTTGATGAAGCTGTGGGCTGGTGATAAGGTCCCATCTGATCATAAATATCCATCCCCATCCCAGAAGAGTCTAAGTCAGGAGGCATGGCTGTTATGCCACCAACAATCACTCCATTTTTACACATGGATGACAGGATAGAACGAGCATTTCTTCCATGATTACCTTTAGGACTCAGGAGAGGGTAGCCAAAAAGTTCTTTTGGGGTCTCACACTGGAGCCTGTCATAGGTGTGAGTGACGTTGTCAAATGCCTCTAGCCAGATAAGGAAGCCATACAACTCACAGCCACAATGGAAAGGATTTCCAGCCAGTTCACACACTATTAGCCGTCCACCCAAAACAGTGAAGGTGGATGAATCCAGCCTGGTTAATTTATTAGAGGAAAGATCAAGACTGCTAAGGCTTGGGCACTCCCAGAAGGCATTGGTTGCAATTACCTCAATAAGGTTATGCTGCAGATACAGGCACTGCATTCGACCCAAACCTCGCAGCATCCCCTCTGTGAGGTTGGTTAGCTTGTTATATCCCAACTGCAAGACCTGTAGATTGGCCTGTCCTGCGAAGGCACCATCCTCAATGTAGGAGATTTCATTCTTGGTAAGGTTGAGGTCAGTAAGGTTGGTGAATCGGCTGAGGGAGCTGAAGAAAATTGCTTTGAGCTTGTTCTCATTCAGCCGTAAGTCATGGACGGTGTTGTTAATATGCTGTGGGATTGTCTCATATGGAGGCTGGTTCTGACTGCAGATTGCCAGCCACACATAGCCTTTATCCCCCTCAATTAGCCAGCAGTCACCCCTCACAAAAGAAGGTGCATGGAGGAGAAGAAAAATAGGGAGAGAGAGGATGAGAAAGCAGGGTGGAAAAGCACAAGATAAGCTGAACCTGCAGGCCATTTTTGAGCAAAAACTGGATTTGTTTTGATCAAGGTGGGAAATGAAAGAGGTTAGGGCTCAAAATAAGAAAAATTATCACAGGAGATGGACGGCCAATAGGATTACAAAGACACAGGTTCTGGGGAAAAAAAGTGTCTTGAGGGCAGTCACAGCTGTTCAGGGACCATAATGCCAAACATAGTCCCCATTTTACGTGGTCCGTGTTATAGGTTTATAGCGTCGCTTGCCACAGCTGTAACTCATGATCTTTGACTTCTTGACTGCTCTCCTTGTGAATCGCTGAGCAATGCTTTCAATCTGTCAGTCTTTGGATCTGTACAAGAGACAAAAGGTGGGGAGAGAAAATTTAGAAATTAATGATTATGCTTTAATTATAAACAAAACCAGGTTTAGAAGACCATTTATGTATTCAAATTTCTAAAGTCATGAAACTTTGTCTTTACTGTGCTAGTTTTAGAAGTCAACAATATTTGATTATGTAAAACCATTTTGGTACAACTAAACAATAAAGGCTCAAAACTGTTCTAAAAGAAAGAATAAATGACAGCATAATTAGGGACCAGAATGTAAAACAGCCATTAGTCTTTGTAAGTCACTGAGGTATTACAGTGCCTCTGAGGATTAATTTAGGATTACCATTATCCAAACAACACAATTCTACATGTCACTCTTTTGCAGAAAAAAAGTTGGTTTCCTTGGTTATAAAATGCATAAAACATCTTGGTAGCACAGCTAAAGTGGCTTAACAAAACAGCAATGTGCGTGTGCGTGTTTATATGTGTATGTGAGTTACTTGGTATATGTAATTATGCATTGGAAAGTTTAGGAAAGTTTAAGCTACAGGTAGTGTCATAGTAGTGTACGGGTAGTTTCTAAATGCCACAATACCAATATTGTCCCAGCAAGTAAATACAGCACAATGTTAACAAAACTTTCCATACTTGCAATGTGGTGGTATATTTTGGGTCTTTATAGCAATTTGACACTATAGATATCAAGGCTCTCAGGTTAATTTTGTAACTTCAAAGAAATCTGTCTAATAAATCACTGAATGCTCAACAGGCCTCCTGCTAATGCTAATTTATCCATTTCTTTGGACTGCCTGTGTACTGAGAGACTGCTCACGAAATGTTTAATTCATTAAATCACACAGAACAACATTTTAATAATCCTTTACATTAGACTACAAATATTGTCATGAAATTTTGCATAATAATACTCAAGCCACACCGCACAGCCACTCAGTCTAGAATTCAAGCATCCAATTTTACAATAGTCACTTCTCATTTCTAAAGCCCTCACAGAAACAGAGAACCCGTTTCCCCTGGTGCCAAAGCTCAAGATTGAAATTGACAATTCAATTCCTCAACTGACGTCAGCCAATTTAAAACTGACCCTCAGAGTGTGTCATAACCATGGGATACTCTCGTAACTGTCAATCTTTCAGTCCCTCAAGACTGACATGTGTGTGCAGGTCTTTTCGTTTTAAAACTCTTTAACATCAGCCTCATTAAATACTCACAAATATAAATTACACCCAAGAAAATGCGATAGGAATGTTTGTATGCAACTGGGTATATTTGTATGGCTATGAATGTATGTGTGTATACATGCTAGTTATGTCAAGGGAAACGTGCAGTGCATGCAAATAACGCAGAAGACTTTTATGCAAATTGAATGTGAAGAGATGTAATTCTAAAGGGAGTATTAATTACCCCGTTGACGAGAAAAAAGCTTTACATAGCACTACTTGAACAGCCGTAATTGTGAAAGTTATCCTACAACGGCTGCATAATGTAACTTCAATATGCCAGATGATTGTTGCATATTAAACCAACAAAATATATTATACCCAGTGGAATATCTCAAACACTTTCAAACTATTAAATGTTAATATCCCACAATGCACTGGGATAAACACGGAATGATGAATGGTGCTTGCTAAGGGTTTTCAAAATTCCAGCCGTAAGTATTAAATGCTGACATGCAATGAAAGATATTGAATATTTCCATTGTTGTTGACCAGAATTTTAAAGATATCATGCTGAAGACCCACTGAAATAATACTGGGGCATGTTGTCACAATGGAATCTGCCAATAAACAGGCTTTTCAGTAAATGTTAGCTAAATGGTAAATTCCATTTTAAATGTACTTTTGATTCAAAACCTTATAATTATAGTTACAACTTCTCCTTGTGACAACTACCCCCAGATTAACCATATACATTCAGTTCCTCTCTTTATTGCTTTCGATGCCAGCAGTTTAACCTCCTTCTCATCCCCAGTCACATCGGCTCATTTTCATCCTTCTGTTCACTGAGCTCTGACCCCGTTAGATAAAGATCTAATTAGTTAGTCTATTCACTAATGTCTAGAGAAAACACTCCACCAGTTATTCTCCTCACTGAGAAAGTCTGTCCAAATAAAAGGTCACCTCAATATTACAGCAGAGTCCTCAAAGCAGCATTTTAACACATACGATAACTATCCTTCCCTGCTGATTTCATTACAAACAACCTCTAGAAACACAACACTGACTGAGGGGCCATTTGGCTTCCAGTGATTTAAATAAAGTAATAGTACACGAGTTAAAAGATCTCCCAAATGTACTATCACAGCAGGTTTGAAAAAGCAACAAATTACAATAAACACCATTCTGAGCTTTTCCTGAGTGAGTGGCCATTACAGTGCTACTGGCTTACTTTGTGCACTAGAAGAGATAATATGTGACCAAAATGGGCAAAAAAAAAAAAACTTTAACAACTTAGTAGCTTTTACAAGCAAATGACTGTTAAGTGCCACAGCGTTAAGATATTTTTTAGAAAAATCAAGCTAACCAATGACTAACTTAGTGTTCTTTGCTGGTATAGGAGAACGTTTTTTAACAGCTTTAAATTAATCAAAGATGCAAATACATTTTGCATTCAAAATCCACTTAGCTCAAAAATCAAACCTCTGTTCAAATGGAAATGACGCATCTGTGCTTATGCAAAGTTTTATTCGCTATGCGCCTACATTTCTATCCTCTTTCTTTCTTCCTGCCTCGTCTTTTAGTGGTGGCATTGTACGCTATGAGTTTATCACTCTTGTCCTTTCAAAAGACAAAAATAGCATGCGCTAGCAACAGCAAAGAAACAATTAAGACCTTCTCTTTCTTCCTTTATTCTGCCAAGCTCCAGGCTTTTGTGGAGACCTGAAACCCTTTCCGTTTTCTCACGTCGAGTTATCACACAGCGTATCTGCGATTTAATTAGGACCAGAGGCTAATGCTAATTACAGCTTGTGAAAGCAGGTGGACCAGACTAGGAGTTACTTTAGAGAGACTTCATAGTCTAAAGATGAACCTCTCAGGGGAAGAGAGAAAGACAATAAGAAAGCGAATGAGATCAGATGTACTCAGACCATTACATGCAGAGAACAGACACACACACACAAAAAAAAATTTTCAGCCAAATGCTATGCTAGCCAAAGGTCAAACAAGAGGTGCTACGCATGTTGAGTGATGGGGAACTTCCTTCAAAATGGCACTTTTCTTGACATGAGGCAGCTGAAGCTAAACAATTTCCACCTTACCTGGCGCTTCTTTTTGGGGAGAAAAGAGACCCAACGCATGTGGTTGTCACATTGTATGTATATGTTGACCTTTAACGCTGAAGTAGCCTAGAGGAGTTATTGCTAACTCACCTATCAAAAAGCAATGACCTGTGCAGGTTGAGATAGTTAAAGCTGTAGCATGTAATTGCTTTATTTTTTATTAAAATACTTATTTCTCCAGCTTAAACTGCAGAGACAACTATAAAGTAACCCATTCATTACCCAAAAAAGTGTAAACTGTGGAGTTTTCAAAATATTGTTTGTTTGAGCAAACTAGCCCAGCTTAGCAACAGTGAATCAACCAATGGTGTGATTTTGGGGGTGGGGCTGTTTGGTTGACCAATGGCAGATGTGTTCGGAAAACATTTGAAAACAATCTTCACTTGTCTCATTTTATTTAGGAGAACAGTAATTACACATTCACCAAGTCATTCATTAATTAATTTAATGTACACAATAACCCTCATTTAGGGGTTTTAATGCATAACTACCAAAACTTTGTTAAAACTTTGTTTGAGCAGACTAGACCAACATGGCAACAGTGACTCAACCAGTGGCGTGAGTTTGGGGTGGGGCTTTGTCTTTGTTTAGACCAATAGCAGATGTTTTTGAAAAAACTGTTTGAAGATCTTGCTTTTTGTCCTTGGGGACACATTTTACTTTTCACTAAAGTCGAACTAATCTCAACTTTGTTGCCTTAAATCGCCATTTGAAATGACTTTGTCTTGTCACTGCAAATTGCTCCCAGCGTGAACGCCTCAAATCAAATAGCTATGATATTAATATCTAGCAGTACTTTTTGTTCAATAATTGATCATTTTAATGTTTAAAATTCACAGTGAGCACTGGTTTTGGTTGGTTTATTTCCAGCTGTGGTATTATTCTGAAAATCACCACTATTTGCCATTTCAAGCTCTTTTAAGTGCTTGATTTTTCTTTTTTCCCCCATCAGCCACTGCAGTGTGCACTTGTTAGAATACCAATTTTATCTCCAAACAGCAGCAACATAGACTGCCTGGAGTGGAAAAACTTTTCCGAGGAAGGGGAAGAACATGAAACAGTCTTAGAGAGTGTGTTGATTTCCCTTTCACGTACCGACAAAGAAAACCCCACCGTTTTCCTGCCGACGTGCTACATACGCAGCACGCATTCAGAGAAAGTAAATTCAGTTGTTTTGTCTGAGGCAGTCGTCTGAGACATCAAACACCCCTCAGGGTTGTGGGATCACGGAATTGCCAGAGCTACGTTCACCCCGAGATCAAAACTGACACGGGCAGCCACAGGGGCATTCAAACAGCCAAGAAACAAATTTGTCCGTGTCAAAATGCCCAGACGCTGCCCTGTCGCTCTGACATCCAATGACCTACATGGGACCAAGTCCCCAGAGGGGGCAGCAGCTTTAACTTCCTGAATTATAATTAGTGGCTTCTCAACCTCCAGGTCTTGACTGAGAAGATTGGGTTTTTCAAAGTGCCCTTAAATTCTGCCTCATATTATAACTTAATACGTCTCGCCTCTTCCTCTATTTCTTGTACAGTATGTCAGCAACATTTATGCCAGTTCGCTTGCCAGAATGTGAGTGCAGGGAGAGGATTTGAAATAATTGCTAAAATTCACTATGGGGTTAGGAAGCATTTTGCACTAACACACAGCTATGTCGCCCTTTCAGCACAGCCTCTTTTATCACCTGGCAATTTCCACAAACTGGGTACAAAAGGA